AGAATTGATGAAGTGAGGTTGGTTGTGCTTTGTTAGCCTTGTTGGGTGGTATGTGATATGAGTGGATTCAAGTGGATGGGGGGTGGACCCTGCACTATTTATAAAAACGTTGAAGACGACGTGTATGGTTCAGAGCCCACATAAAATCTTTGGTTGCAACCCAACCAACGGTATACAAACTACAATAATATCATCTCCCTTCCTCATTATTATTCTATACATTTTTTTCACTTAATAAATCTAACCTTATTTATAGTTGTTATAAACCTCAAAATAACTAGATCTGAATATTTATTATATCTGTATTTATTTACAATTACATATTTTATATTTAAATATTTGTTTATATTTAATTACCAAATAATTGATATTTATGGTCAACCAATTAATATCAAGGTTTTAAGCATTGTTTGATAATTTTAAATGAAATTGGGATGAAAAAATAAACAATAAAAATTGAAATGATAAAAACCCTCCCCGGAAGCAATTGAGTGGCAAAGATATTTCTTTGGAATTTTTATTTAAAAGAAATATCGTAAAAAACCTTTATCAATAGGGTTTTAATTTTCGCCATGGCTCCCAAGTTTCTTCATCTTTATACTTGTTTCCTCTAAATCTAATATTTTCTTGTTGGATTTCCTCTGTTGGGGATAACAAAGGTATTGAATTCATCCTGGATTTTTGTTTTATTATATTAATTTCTATAAGTTTCATGGATTTGTATGTAATTTGATTGGTTGATTTTGATTTTGATTGTGATTGTGATTGTGATTGTTATTCTTTAGAGTGCTAGCTTTTGATTTGTTGTAAGATGGTAATTAAGTTCAATCTAAGTCCACCTGAGTAGAAGAATTTTCGATGGGTTGAGTTTTAGATTGTTCGATGACATCCTTGATGATCGACTATCAGACAAGAGTAATTGGGATTGGAGAAGTTGAAAATTAGCAGTTGAGTTGGGTAGGGTTTTTGTGATTTGAGTGTATATTTTGGGGATTGGAGTCGGTCTTATTTGATTTTGAATTGTTAATGAGTGGAACTTTGAGCCCTAACTTTTAGATTAGTTCAAAGGTGAATCTAATTCTTCGATTTGAAATGTGTTAGATTCGTTTGTTGATTGTCTTTTTGGTTCAATCATCGATTTGGTTTTTGATTATGAATCGCAATCTAAGTCCAAAGGAAGTATCGTTTTCAAAACCCTCGATTTACGTCTGACCTATTGAATTTCTCAAGTGTATCATTTGCCATGAATTCCAGATCCACTTCATCTGAAACCTAGATTTCCTGACATTTACAGCTTAATCCCTATGTAGGAGTGGAACTCATCATCATTGAATGAAGTTTCTTTCGAGGGGATGGATGAAATAGCGGCCAACGAAGCAACTGCAATTAACAACATCGATAGCAAACGGTTTCTGAGAAAAGAGAGTGGGTTTTTGCCAAGTCGTCGAAGCTCCAACATGCTTGAAATGCAGGAAATGCTTATACCTGGTGACATTAATGTTCAAGAAAGCAAGATGGGTTTGTTTATAGATGTCTTGGATGGAAAGAATGTCACTCGGGTTGATACATCAGAGCATGCATGTGTCAGCCCTCGATTCGTGGATGATACCGGGACTATGGTTGAAGAGTTAACTGTGAGAAATTGTAATAGTGGGAACTTGGAAATAGGTGCCTCAAGCGCGAGAGACAAAATGATGCATAAGGGACAGAACAATTGGCAGCAATTCCATCGGAGAGCAGAAGGGGCAGTAACGGGTGTGTGGGAAGATTCTGGCTCCACTTTATTCCCGGAGCTTCTGAACAACAAACAACAAAGCGAAAATCAAAAGGACACAATGGACAATTCACGACGTGAGGAAAAGCAACCTGCTTTATGCAATACATTGTTATCTCCTGGTGGGATTCGAACAAAGATTCTTTCTCAATCCGGTTTTTCTCAGTATTTTGTGAAAAATACATTGAAGGGAAAGGGTGTCATTTGCAGTGGTCCATCTCATGATGGTCTTGTTCATATTCGTGATCAGAATCATCAAAAGGATGCTTTGAGAGATTTCAATTCAGCGCCTGATTCAAGTAAGGAAACTATTGTTCACCCTTCAGACGGCATAGCTGAGTCTTGGCCCAATGTTTCTGGTGTTCATGATGGTTTGTGCCTGAGAGAATGGCTTAAAGCTGGTCAGAACAAGGTGGACAAATCCAAGAGTCTGTATATATTCAAACAGATTCTAGATCTGGTTGACTCATCACATTCTCGAGGAGTGGCTTTGCAAGCCTTACGACCATCGTCCTTCAAGTTGACGCTATCAAACCAAGTTTTATACACTGGTTCACCTATCCAGAAAGAACTCATGGGAAATATCGTGGGTAAAGAATTTCATCACATGGAAAATAATGGAGATGAAAAGAGGCCATTGGAGCATGATCCTCTTCTTGGTGATAACCGAAGCTCAAAAAGAAGAAAGCATGGGGACGAGCGGAACTCTTTCCGTAGGTGGCCTCAATTTACAGCACGTGCTGGTTTCAAATACGGAAATGCACATGATATTGGCGCTGTTAATGGCTTTCCTCGTGATTCTGGGTATGGATTTAATGAAGAGAGCATCCCTAAAAGAGACGATTCATATCCAATCCAAAGCATGTCCAATACTCTGCATGTGTCTGCTACGTCCCAAATGGCGTCAAACTTACGCAGTGATCCGTTGGAAGAGCAGTGGTATGCCAGTCCAGAGGATCATAGAGAGAGGTGTTCCACTTTGTCTTCGAATATCTACTCTCTAGGCGTTCTTCTATTTGAGGTGCGCATTGTGTCTCATTGCAGCCTTTTCCCTTTTCACCTCTTAATCATACAATGTTCTAGCGATGCTTGCCGATTGTAGCCCTAATTTGTTGGTTGAGAAAGTTATAATGTATTTGTAGGCATAGAGAATATAAAGTAAGTATTACTGAAATAGCATAGCAGTTATGGTATGTGGTGCCAACTTGGAAAATAGTCATAAAGAGCACAACTTGCCTTTTCCAAAAATTAAAATGAAAAAAGGCTACAAAATAAATATAACCAAAAAATAAAGATAAACAGGGTTAATGTTATCTGGCGATTTTTGTTTTCTAATTTTCTTGTTACTACAAAGGCTTAGAATGAAAGCCAAGATGTTCTAAAGAATGGCAGAAAGTTAGCGGCCCGTTTTTTCACCTCGAGGCACCATACATCATGCAGAATGGCCCCGAATGATGGGGTATTTGACCTTTCTGTGCTGTACATTGCACCGGTCAATATGATGTGGGTTTTACTCCCTGCCATGCGCCATGGCATGTGCCTTGGCTACTATTGCTTAATGATCAGGTATTTAAGAGAAAATCAATCAAACAAACACTATAGGAGAGGACCAATTCAAAAGCCGTTATATCAGAAACCGTCAAACAGAGAACGTCTCAAGTATTAAATTAACTTCTCAATACCGTCAAATCTTCCCTTCTTGAAGTTTTTGGCAAAAAAAATCTCTCAAGCATGGGTTTTCATGCAAACAACCTCGCTACTCTTTTTGGATAAAGATAAGATTTGTGTACATCCTACCCCCAGACCCCATCCCAGAGTGAGATATACTGGATAGTTTGTTTTGGTTTTACTGTCCGACTTGTAGTTTAGTTACCATGTCAGTTTGTTCATTACCTATTTGGGTATGCTACATGAGATTATGGTTAACAAGTGAAACATTTTCTCTACTTGTTTTAATAAAATACTCCATCTGTGCCAAGAAGTACCCAGAGTCACTCCACAAATGTTGTTACATTTTGAGCTTACTAAGAAAATAATAAGTCTTTTTTTCCCTTTTTCATTAGTATCATACGGATTCTGGGTTTTGGTGATTATGTGCATAGAGGGATGATTGCTTGCATCTTATATGTATTTCTTGTTTTCAGCTACTTGCGTCTTCAGAATCTGCTAGAACGCATGCTATTGCAATGATGGATCTACGTCAAAGGATCCTTCCTCCTAGTTTCCTCTCAGAGAATCCCAAGGAAGCTGGATTTTGTCTTTGGCTGCTTCATCCTGAAGCATTGTCACGCCCAACAACTAGGTATTGGTTGAATTATGTTGGTTCTGAGATCTTTCGACATGTATACGTGTGGTGTGTATAGGGGGATTTTCAAATACAAACCATGTATTTCTTACAAACCCTACAAAACTAATCTCAACCATTGATTTTGTTTATTCCAAAAATTTAGAGGCGGTTATAAAATGCTGTTAAGAGTAAATTTAGGAACTGATTTAATCCACACCGTTGATTATCTAAATGTATGGTTGAGATCGGTTTGTAAGAATTGCATGGTTTGTATTTAAAATCCCCCTATATATATATGACTAGTGACACGTGGTTCCTGTGTTCATGTTACTGCACCAGTTATGCTAAAATCTTTGTTGTATCAGTTCTAAATCAAGAAAAGGTTGGATAATTAGTTTTTGTATTGTATATCTAGTGTCGCTCTTAAGGGAAAACACGGCTCAAGCTTTATACATTCAGAATATATACGATTGTTCCTAGATATCTTCTTCTCTTAAAGATGCATTTGCTATTATTCCTTTGGACTTTTTGCATACAAATATCCAATAGCTCAACAGGAAAAAATAATTTTTAGCCATAACCACAGAAAGATAAGCCATGCCCAAGTGAAATCTAGGGAAATGTGGCATACAAAAACCTCCTTCCTGATTGATTGCAAAACCTAGGAGCCTTGGTGCATTGCGGTCAAAATGAAAAGTCAACCTTGTGCCGCCAGTAGTACCATGTTGTAAGCGGTTTCATTGCTGGTGTTTTGGCTTGGAGTAGATTGCCCAAATACCCGTATTTGTATAAGGAGGGGGATTTACCCGTATTTGCATATTTGGGTTTGCCTACTTTGGTACTAATTGATCAAATCTACATCTTCCATGCTTGTCGATAGTGTAAAAATCCTTTGGCACCTAAAAATCTAAAAAAGATTTCTTTTAGGGGGCGATGTTGCATCTGCCCTCCCTATATAACCAAAAAACTGTTCTTTTTTCCTTTCAACTTGACGGGCATGAATTATCTTTTAACAGGGACATCCTACAGTCCCAGCTTGTAAGTGGAATACAACAATCGTCCATGGAAGAGTTGTCATCATCCATTGATCAGGAGGATGCTGAATCGGATTTGATGCTGCATTTTCTTGCATCTGTAAAAGAACAAAAGCAGAAAAGTGCCACAAAATTAGTCAAAGATATCAGGTACTTGGAATCCGACATTTCAGAGATCGAGTTAAGACGACCAAATAATGTTTTTCTTGGTGAGCAGAAACAATCCTATGAATCTGAAGGAAATGGGTCCATTCAAGAAAACCGTCCAACTTTGGGGGAAAAACTAAGACCGTCTGCATTTTCTAGTTCCGGTGGATCACGGTTGATAAGCAATATAAATCATCTTGAACACGCCTACTTTTCTGTTAGGTCCAGCATAGGGATTCCCAACAGTGATACAAACAAACCCGGGGAGCATGAAATTTTAAGAAGTCGGGAAAATAATATGGGGGCAATAAAGAAGGAAGCAAACAACAAACCTGTAGATCACTTAGGGGTCTTCTTCAAAGGTTTGTGTAAATATGCTCGCTATAGTAAGTTTGAGGTACGGGGTACTTTAAGGAATGGTGATTTTAGTAGTATGGGAAATGTTATATGTTCACTTGGTTTTGATCGAGATGAGGATTATTTTGCAACGGCTGGAGTGGCAAAGAAGATAAAAGTATATGATTTTCAAGCTCTATTGAACGACTCTGTTGACATCCATTATCCAGCCGTTGAGATGTCAAATAAATCGAAGCTTAGTTGCATTTGTTGGAATAGCTATATCAGGAACTATCTGGCTTCAACAGACTATGATGGCGTGGTCAAGGTTAGCACATTTCATAAATTTACAAAATTCTTCTCAAAATGATATGTCAACAGGAGTATTATAAATATGAACTAGGGCACATATTAAGGGTGCATTTGGTATTCAAACAGGATAGAAAGGACAGTTGTTTAGCTTTTGGTAAGATAGAATTGGACAGGACAAAACATACACAATGACTAATTTACCCCCGATGGGTTGTAGATATATTTTGATTAGTTTATGTTATTTATTACATTATGATATAATAAATATTTTTATAACAAAATATATAATTAGAAAATTTTGTCAAAACGATTGAAATGACACCAAAATAAAAAGTTTATGTAGTTTTTAATTTTTAGTTTATGCATTTTCTATATTATTTTATTACATAAATTAACCAAAATATAGAAACTGTGTAGAAATAATATTTTGAGGACAGTAAAGAGAGTTTAAAGAGCATAAAATACGATAAATAAAATTTAAAGAATGAATACGATATAAAGAGGCAGGCATATTTGATGTTTCAGAAGAAAATTAGGTTCTATTTTGAGGTTATATTGGTAAAAATAGGTTTGTTCCACCTTGTTTCATGGGGTGGGGGTGGATCATGCCTGTTCCACATAAAAGTCTTGCAAACATGGAACAGGGATCCTTGTTCTGTCCTGTCTTGTCCAGTGTACCAAATGCACCCGAAAGGTTCAATTCATAATGTACATACCTCTACTCTATCTAGAGCACATCACTAAATACTTTGTTATGTTACTTGCATAACTTCATGGATGATCTCAGTTATGGGATGCTGGAACCGGTGAAGCAGTTTCCCATCATATCGAGCATGAAAGGAGGGCGTGGTCGGTTGACTTTTCTCCAGTGGATCCTATAAAATTAGCCAGCGGAAGTGATGATTGTTCTGTGAAACTATGGAGCATTAATGAGGTATACCCTTCTTTCCTTTTTATTTAATCTTGGATTCTATGTCACCTTTCTTTTTGGTTCTAATTATACTTCTGAATCAAATAAGTTGGCTGGCCGCTGATCTTCTTATTCCAAGTCGAGAACTTTCTGAATAAGTTGGTCGATAATTAAACAATTTTCCTTTCATATGCAGAAGAAGAGCTTAGCCACAATCAAAAGTGTTGCAAACGTCTGCTGTGTTCAATTCTCTCCTTACTCTACTCATTTGCTGTCTTTTGGGTCGGCTGATTATAGAACTTACTGTTATGATCTTCGGCATACTTCCACCCCGTTGTGTACATTGGCTGGCCATGATCGAGCTGTTAGTTATGTGAAATTCTTGGATTCTGGAACCCTTGTTTCCGCATCGACTGACAACACGCTAAAGCTCTGGGACCTCAATAAAGCCAATAATGGTTGCTTATCAACCAGCAGTTGCATCTTAACCTTCAAAGGACATACTAATGAGAAGGTATGTTTCTATATTTTAGTGCACATAATTGCTCCATTCGTTTGTGTTTGTAATCTTGGTTCTTGGTTGACAATTTCTCGGGATGATTGTGTATTGCTTTACGTGAAATTGACTGAAATAGCGAATCCCATCAAGGGGTTTCACTTTTTTTTTTGTAAGGGTGTCCGGGCCAAAGCCCGACTAATCCCCGGCAATTTTGGAGGCTAARCATGGCCCCACTTAAATGTCGCCAACACTCCCCTCCCAGGGCTCGAACTCGGGTTCATGATTATGTCATGCCCAAGCCTTTACCACTAGGCTGGAAGGTCTTTGACAAGGGGTTTCACTTGTTAGCCACTTTTTTACCTCTTCGACTTTTAGCCATTTCTTACGCATTGGCCTCACGCATATGCATAAGGTTTGCTTTTCTGAAAACAAAGAATGAAAAATCCTTATGGATTTATGCCTAACTTTTTTTTTTTTTGTGTAAGGATTTATGCGTAACTTCTTTCTCATCTAAAAATAGGTGGTAAAAGTAAAAAACGAGGCTTATGCCTAACTTTCTATTCATGCGTAACTTTCGCAACTTTTTTGACTGAAAAGCAAACCTTATGCACATGCGTAAGGCTTATGCTTAAGAAATAGCTAAAAGTCGAAATGAGGTACAAAAGGGGCTAAAAATTGAAACCCCTTGATAGGATTCGCTATTTCAGACAATTTCCCTTGCTTTACACATCTTCCACAGCCGCCTTCTGAGAGAGGGAATCCAGAGTGTTTGATGCCATAGACCGACACATAATTTTAGGGAAGTAGATGACTATTGAAAAAATGTTTAAGATAACTTCGAATAGTATAAGAAAACAAGAAATCTTGTGAATACAAACCTCTAACATCAACTTTCTGCAGTCATTTTATTGGAAAAATAGGTAATCATGACGAGAACTTTCCAAAAATGGAAATCTTGCAGTTTTCATGGGACAGAGAGAGCATGAATAATTACAGTTACTACATTATCATTTTCTTGCATTTACTGTTGCTATTACTGAATATACTTTCTTACTGAATTTGTAGAATTTTGTTGGTTTATCGGTTGCTGATGGATACATTGCATGTGGTTCAGAAACTAACGAGGTATGCCCTTTTTACTTTTGGTTATGTCTTCCTATAGACAAATTAGCGGAAACCGTTTTTTGTTTAGACCGAAACAAACAATTGTTCTTTGAAATGTTAAAGCCTCTCTCGAGCATACATTTCTGCATTTAACTTTCATGAATCAAACATAGATAAAGCTGTTTGTGTAGATTAATCTGTTTGTATAGATTGGGAAGGTATTTGTTTGGGAGAGTTTATTCATAGATGGAAGGAGCATGTTTTTTAATTGGGAGGTTTGGAAAAAACTTGTCTTTCTGCATAAAGCTCCTCCTAGAAGCTTATTGAATAAGTCACTTTCTATATCATTAAGCCACTACCAAACAGTCATGTATAGTTATTGACCGAATTAGCCATGAGTCCCATTAAGTTCATTAAGCTGCTAACAAACAGACCCTATTTGTGCTTGTCTTGTAGGTGTTTGCTTACTATAGATCATTGCCAATGCCTATCACTTCCCACAAGTTTGGCTCTATTGATCCTGTTTCGGGAAAAGAGACTGAAAACGAAAGCAATCAGTTTGTTTCAAGTGTCTGTTGGAGAAAAAAATCAGACATGGTGGTTGCTGCCAACTCCAGTGGATGCCTGAAATTGTTGCAGATGGTCTAACAGAGGTTTGTAAATCTCAAGATCTTTTGAGTTTGAAAGTTTCTTGATGTATTCTGATATTTAGTTAAAACCATTGTATAATCCTGAAAACTCAATATCAATCGACTTTCAGACATCACCTCTTTGAACGGCATGATAAATGGGTCCTCACTGTTCGTGTCATCTTAATACAACGAGCATGTGTTTTTCAGTGGAGAAGATTCTGATGAAGCGTATCCAACAGAAAATTGGGCAGGCAAAGCACCAGGTGAGTCGCTTTGTTTGAAAGCTCACTCTTGGTATTTGTTGTTTCAGACCTAAAATTTCCGTATTCCTAGTAATCTTCGTTGTCGGGAATTCAAACATTAAAAGAATCAAAGAGAGAAAGTAACATGTAGGGTATTTTGGTATCCCGACAAGACAGAACAACTGTTCAGCTGTTGGTAAGGTTGAGCGTTTGGTAAGACAGAACTGGACAGGACAAAACAAATAAGATGGTCAATTTACCTCTATGAGTTGTTTATATATTTCGATTGATTATGTAATTTATTAAGCTATAATAAAATAAATATTTTTTTATAACAAGATATATCATTAGAAAGTTTCTTTGAAGAGATTAAAATGACACCAAAATAAAAAAAAATTATGTAGTTTCCAATTTTTATTTATACCTTTTCTATATTATTTTATTATTATTAATATTTAAATTACATAAATTAATCAAAATATGGAAACCGTATAAAAAATAATATTTTGAAGACAATAAAGTGAAAGTTTAAAGAGAATAAAATATAATAAATAAAATTTAAATAATGAATAAAATATAAAGAAGGCTTATATGATGTTTTAAAAGAGAATTAGTTTTATTTTGAGGTTATATTGGTAAAACATAGGTCTGGTCCATGTGGTGGGGATGGAACACGCCTGTATCACTTTGTTTCACTCTATTCCTGTCTGTTCCACATAAAAGTCCTCCTAAATGTGGATTTGTGATTCCGTTCTGTCATGTCTGTCTTGTCCAGTGTGTTGATGTTTTTTTTCATTTTTTCTGTTTAACACAGGTTTCTTCTCTGGAATTTTGGGATGGAACTGAAGCTTCTTTCTTCTCTGTGTCGGCTTTTTGTTACGTGCTAATGTATTTCGATGTTTCTTTTCTGGAATCTGATCGGTATATTGTGGTTGGAATCTGCAGACTCTGCTTCGGAAATCACCTGTTTGTAAAGTAAGTTTCTTCTTCACCTGAATCTGGAGAATCGTAGGAATTTGGTTTTCATTTTGAGTTTTCTTTAATGGAAGATTTAGGGTTCATTTCTTCTTCAGACCCGTCTGTATCCTCTACCTTCAGGATTTCATGGCATCTTGGCTTCTTGTCAGCTGCAACATTCAGCAAATTATCTACTCTTATTTCCGATTGGGATCTCAGAAGCTTAATCAATTAAGCAGTTCTTTCTTTGGGAAGATTCAGATTCTTGATCGGCAGACTTAATAAACAGACCAATCATCTCGATAATAAGCTGACATGTTGTCACTAGACGCTGGATTTGCTGGAATTGATTCATTTGCGAATCCTGAAAATGTGGAAAGCTTTCGGGTATGTAAAGCTCGGATTTACCTGAAAATAAAAGACATGGGATACGGTATATATTTACGAGTTTGGTCTTGGATATGAGCGGCGTTTGCAGGGAAATCTGGGTAACAGTTGCTTGTTAGCAACATTCGGTAAATTGGAACCCATGGTGAAACACTGACTGTTTGGACGATTCGTGGGCCGTAGCCGTTCCCGGAAGGAAATTTCGGCCGCTGTGCATCCCTGTTGGACAAAGGTGATTTAGTCCTTGGTTTGTGCCATGTGGAATGAGGACACGGTTTCAAACCCTGGACAAGGTGGTCCTCAGTGTGGGTGGCAGCCGGGGAGACGGTGTAGACTCGGACATTGATGGTGGCGATAGGGGCAAAAAGGTCATTTTGTAAAAAGTTCATCTGTGAAAGTAGATACTCTGTAATGTTTTTAAAGAATGTTACTTATGCTATCAACTTTTTAAGATTTGTATATTTTAAATCTATTTGAGTTTATATTTATTTCTTTGAAACCACAAGACATTTATCTTATACTTCTGTTTGAATATGGTTTTTTTTAGGATGACAAAGTTCATATGTTTAAGAGTAACTGTGGGTTTTTGGGTCAACTTATGTTTATCGACTAATCCTTGGGACATCACAAGTAACTTGGAGTTATTGCAGGTGAACCTCCATGGCCACAAGTAATTTGACAGCACCTGGATTTTGTTTATCGTAGTCATCCGTTTTGTTAGCTTATCGTAGTCCTATCTAGAAAATTTAATTAAATGTATTTATATTAATTTTTTTTAATATCTAAAATATTTTTTAATGGCGCTCTGTTTAGTTCTATTAGTGATATATAACGACATACAATGCTAAAATATTAATTGCCCAAATTTTAATTGTTGTATTTGTATAAGGGTGACATAAGGAACGTAGTTCAAACACAAATGTCAATTACAATTAGAGATGGCCAAAAATCTATCCTGGTCCCAAATACTATCCCGCAATCGGTCCCAGCACACCCGAAGGCCTGGTTAAGCTTTCTCGTAACTGGTTATGAGAACCGGTCCCGGTCCAGGGCCGGGCCTAAACCAGTGGGAAGTGTTCTTTTTAATTTCGATTTTTTAAATACAATCTTTTTTTGAATTTTTTTAAAACTACATTTTTTTAACAGTACAAAAAAATGATATTTTAATACACTTAAAAATATGTAATATGGTCAATCAAATACACTTAAAAAGAAAGATGAGAAGTAGGAGTTGAAAAAGAACGAACTCTAATACGAGCCGAAATCACGAATTATAGCGACAATTATGAATGTTTTTGTGCTTATGAGTTGGTATCTTCCACCATATACCATATAACTTATATAGGTAAATGGGACAAAAAAGGGTTAAAAATAGGAAAACGGTCATATGAACATTGGGCACTGGCTATAGAACAACAATTTTTTTGAAAAATCGTTCCGGTCCCGGCCCGGCGAGGCCTTTTGTTTTTGACGAAAACTGTAACCGGTCCATAATCGGATGTCCCGTACCGGTCCCAATAGGTCCAGGCCAAACCCATTTGACCATCTCTAATTACAATACTTAATAATTGAAGTATTCTTTAATCATGTTATATCAACAAAAGTCTCCATTAAACAACCAAAGCAATAATGTAAGCTTTACAAGTTTTCATAATGGAAGATTGATTATATTTGTACATTATATATACTTATTGGGTTTCCACTATATTATTATACTTAGTATGTGTGTGTGTGTATGCATACACATAGAAAGAGAGAGGAGGGAGAGAGAAAGAGAGAAACAGGTTCATACGAGAACATTAACTAAATAAGAGAATAATAAAACGATCGAATCATATGTGATTTTACACTAAAATCACATGTGATTCACACGACTTTGGCTGCAACCTGAGATCGCGAGCCATGTCGCCCACGCACCCTTGCACGTCGCATGTTAGTGTAAAATCACATATGATTTTGCACTTGCTTTTGACTATTTCGCATCCTCTTATTTTATTATCATTCTCGTTTCAACCCATCTCTCTCTCTCTCTCTCTCTTTTTCTGTATGTGATGTATGATTAATACTCGGATTTATAAATTCAGGGATTTCCCATCTCCATCTCGGATCAGAGTTGGATATCAGGTTCCCGTCAAATACAAGTCTTTTTTTAGTCCTCCTTAATTTTGATAGAATACAATTTATTTGGTAAAATTAATTAGAGTGTTCTTAGCGGATATTTTTTGTGATTTTCTAGTTTACAAGTTGAAATGCAACATAACGACCAATAGGAGTCGAAGCTATTAATATTTAGTGTGTGAAGTGAATCTGGACCCAAATTTAGTAGCAGACATTGCATTTAAGCAGCCTTACCATATTCGTGACACTTGTCGCTTTCCATATTCTCTAAATTACCCAAACTACCCTTCTAACATTTTACCATTAATAGTCAACCCTTTTTACACATTTATAGTTTGTTTTTTTATAACAATTATCAAAAGGGTAAATTGTAGGGGGAAAAAAGGAACGTATTTTGTTCTGATTTTTTATTTTATGTATCGTATTTTTAAAACATTCATTTTGGTATTTGAGATGAAAACGTTCAAATATTTAAGTATTTGAACGTCATGTTTAACCATTAACATTTTATCATATTGAAATGATAAATAAACTGACATATAAATCAATATTATTTGCTAATATGGCAAATGAGGTGGATTTTTAAATCATGTTTCTATACTTTTTTTCTTGTAAGAAGATAAAATATATTATATAACATAATAACTTTAAATATTATTATTATTATTATTATTATCATCATCATCATCTAATTTATGGCGTAAATGAGATTCCATTTTTATGAGATTTCATCCCACACCAGATCTTCAAATTTGTTTCTCCACTGTTGATGAATCTCCAAATCGGTGAAACGCTTCACCCTCCACTGATGAGACCAATCGTCCATTTGCACCTTCCCCATCGTTGTTCCAATGAAAGCCTCCATCCCACACCACTCTAATGAAAACCCTTCTTCGATTTGCTCAGATGAAAACATTATATCTGTTTTCAGAATTGGAGTGATTGTCTGCAACAACCGCAGGTTTTTTTACGGTCTGGATTTTGATTGTACGTGGAGATGCCCTAAGAAATGTTGTATGGCTAGAGACGGTTTATTTATGATCCGGAGTTGACCTCTCTCAACCTGCACGGGACACGGCCTCATCCATATCTGTTTCCTCACCACCATTATCACCTAGATATGTTTTCTCACCACCATTCTTATCCAGATATATTTCCTCACCACCATTCTCACCGAGATCTGAAAACCTTTCCTGACCAAACCTTAATCATCGTTGTTCTCATCTAGATCTTACATGTTCGGTATTGATTTATGCTTTTTATTTAGGTTTTAGGTATGGTTTTGATTTAGGGTTCATGTGAGAAATTTTCTATAATGAAATCGCAAATTGCTGTGATAGCTTGTTGATATTCTTCGTTGGCCTTGATGTTCTTCATTAATTATTTGAAGAATATGAATGCTCAATAATATAACAAAAAAAATCCACATAATTTCTCATTTCAACAAATAATATTGACTTGTATGTCATGTCATTCGCCATATCAGAATGATAACCTATTAATGGTTAAACAGGTCATCCGGGTATCTAAATATTTAAAAGTTTTCATCTTAGGTACCAAAATAGCTGTTTTAAACATACATTATTCAAAATAAAAATCAAAACAAAGTACATTACATTTTCATACATTTTACCCTTATTAAAATTATCATTATTATTATTATTTCTTAAAGATATAATAATAGTATTTATTTATTATCCTGAAATTAATTGTGTTATGTTTTTAAAAATTAAAATATTTACTAAAAATAAGAGATGTGAAGGTATTAATATCCCACCTTTGTCTCCCAAGGTCCAACACAACTCATAAATACCTTTTTATTTCTCAATAAATATTACTCTTTTTTTTTAAATAAATATGATGTTTATTGCATTTATGAGAGTTTTACATTTTCTTATTTAATATGATATAATTTTTTTTTTCCTTTTTTAGAGTTCTTTTGAAGACGTAAATTAATGGAGTTTCATATAATATTCTTACATGATATCAGAATCTCTGTTTATCATTCTAAGGACTTGACACTATGAATCAACCTGTAAACGTCTAGCCCCTTGGACACTCTGGGATAATTTGTGTCTGTTCGGTTGTCGTTGGAGGGGATTGTTGGAGTCTCTGGACTAGAGTTAAGGCTATCTTTCTCTATATACGTTGGAACTTATTTATACTCCTCAAGTGCTCTTTCCAAAGCATCCCCAACAGGTCAGTATAAATGCTCTTTCGTCGGTTGATTTCCTCCAATCGACCAGTAATTAGGCCGACATTTTTGTGCTTGGTATGAAGACTGCCAAATATAGTGGACTATGAGTCTATGACTGCCATACTTTCGTGTGTTGTGATTTTCAGTGTACGGTTGAAATAATGAGTTTTAGTGTTTTTTATTGTATGCTTGAAGATGATCCGAAGACTATTATGATATCTAGCGAGTTCACATATTTTTAACATAACGAAATAAAGAACCATTTGGTATGACTAACTACAACATAAAACTAGATTCAGTTGTCTTGTGCGTATCGATTATTTGTTTGCGCGTTGAATCAACCATACTTTTATAAGTGTTTTTTGAAAAGTCTCGGATGTGTAATTCAGGTGGTAAAGGGGCGAGGTGATTTTGCCTAAATACAAAGCAGGCCTCGCGTTCAACCCCTTCCCTTCCTTCCGTTAACATCAGCCGCTCAGTGACCCAAAAAATGTCCCTTCACATTAGTGCCTTTGAAGAGAGGTTCCGTGTAAAATCAACTAGGATTTCCAGTAATCAACTTTTATGTTTAAAAAGATTAATCTTGTAAAATAAAATCATTAATATTAAAAACAATTAGAAGGGTACTCTTGCAATGCAGCGAGATACATATTTATTTTAATATTTCGTTTTATTTTTAGTGTTTTTTGATATAATACGGTTTATGTGGTTTTGAGAAAGATGATATCTACACTTTTGAATAAAATAAATTTGAAAAAAAATATATCGATATTAATATTAAGTTATCTATTTAAAAATTCTCATTTTTTTGTACAGTTTCTTTCATTCAATTTTTTATTATATTTTAATTTAAATTTAATAGCAAAGTAATTTATTTTTGATAACAATAATAATTCTGTTATAATTATCTTAATTATATTTTAGATTTATTATATTTAAAATGATATGTATATCTAGTATTTGATTGTGTTTATCTGCAGTTAGTTAGACGAATTCAAGTATGGAGTTTTAATGAGTTATACTTGCATATAATTTATTTGTAATTTTAAAAAATATATAATATATATTAATAAACAATAATTTATATATAAAAAATAGTTTTTAAAGTTTTTATCAAATATTTTATATATAAAAAATTAGTATAGATTAAGGTTTTACGTAACAAGTTGAATAGTTACCAAAAGAGGTAGGCTCCCCCATACAACATCTGAAAGGCTGCGCCAGGACCCGGACCCGCAGCCATGGTTGGGTGAGCTGTGAACCAGGGGACCATGCACTGGAACCCACAGCTACACACACCACAAGTGGGTGTAGGCTCGACACGTGTATCCATCTCATTGGTTGGTTTCTTATAAGCAAAGCATAAACGGAAGGATGGCTTCAATTGCCCACTTGCTCTGCTTGTAAATCTTTTCTATTTGCTAATATTTTGTCTCACTTGCACTTTATTGTTTTTGGACCAAAATATTTTTGAACACTGAAATGTCAAAAATACCCTTTTTCACTAAATTTATATATTTTATAAATATTATTTATCAGTAATTTCTTAATGGTTGTAAGTATGATTTTTTAAATGAAAATTGATTTTGATAATTATTAATGTCACATCGGTAATTTTGTTGATGTGACAATAAATTTTATAATTTTTTTAATTATATGAATAATTTAATAAATAAAACAAATATTGCATTAAACTGTCTAAGATTTGTATAAAAATATTTATCAGATATTTAAAATGCATTCAAATAATCAGTGATAAAGAAATTATGAACGTTAAAAGGAGACGATGTATGAAGATATCAGATAGGTTTTATAAACTTTAAATTGTGGGTTACAATTATTTTAATTATTTAGATAATATTTATATGAATTTTGAAAATAACGGTATTAAATATTGAGCATGTGATTGGTGGAATAATAATGGACATTAATTAAAATTGGTAAAAAAACACATGATTTGGTCAAGAGTTATGAATGGTAAATAATTGTGGTGGTTAAAAATTGAATGCACGAGTGAAGTGAATCTCCAAAAAGATTGTGAGAGGCCAAAATTTGGAAATTGTTAAGAAAAAATAAGCACATCCATTCATACTAATTTATTATGAAATATTTGATGACTTAAAATGAATGAATAATAATTTAGGGGTCGTTTATCTAACCACTTACCCGGTAAGTATTTATCGGTAAAATTTAACATTATCGTTTATTTATCCGGTAAGATTTTATTCACTAAAACGCATCGTATGCAACAATTTATCCCAGTAAGCGCTAACCATGGTAAGAGTCATCGTCTTCACTTATTGGGTAAGACTTGAGATTCTTGTCTTTGCTCTTACCGGGTAAGATTCTTAGTCCTTGTCATATTTATCTGGTAAAGTAAAGTGACTTGGTAGGCGCTTACCCGGGTAAGCGTCTGGTAAACGGCACCTTAGTGTATGTTTTAAGGGAGACACATGATACAAAATCATTTAGAAGGTTTTAGAACCATTAAGAGAAAAAAAAATTGTCAAACAATATTCATCTTTTAACAATTCATATGTTGCACCTTAATGAAACTATTAAGAGGTAAACAAACAACACTAACACAAAGAATAACTTAAGACGTATTTATACATGTGTTTCTTCTTCTTTTCTTCTCTTTCTCTTTAGGCTTTATGTAGAATCTTGGTGGGGCTTTGTCGTTTTAAATTATACGAGAACGAAAATGAGTTTGAGATCTCATATCGGTTGGAGAGGGGAAATAAGGTTGTCTTATAAGGGACTGAATACCTACCACATGACCCATGATAATTAACACTAAAGCAGATATTTCATCTTGAGCTATATAGAAGTACAATGATACAAATGATCATCCCTCATGTACATACACACATGTTTTATAATTTTTTGACTACCCTTTTTAAGATAATTGATTTCTCACTGTCTATCGTACGACCATTTTTTATATATATAATTACGAACATAAGAAAATCTGACATTGAGTACTATTTATCTGTAATATGTTGTAAGTAAATCTGTGATTCACATGCCTTTGCTTACTAATATGATTTCAACAAAAATATCAAAAAATTATTGCAATATATATTTGCCAACATGTTCCTTTTCATTAATTAAAATTAGCATCATTTACCAAATGTTACCGAGTAAACATTTACCAGCAATATTTATTTACCTTATTGAGTAACATTCTCGATTATCAAAATGAATTGTTGGTAAGTGTCTATAATCCAACAAACGCTTACCGGATAAGAGTCTTCTCTTTGCTTAACCAGGTAAAAGTTCCAGTCCTTGTTATTCCTCTTACTAGATCAGATTTCCAGTCACCACGTTATGCATTTTTTATCTGGTAAGCATTTGATAAACGACCATTTATTTGATCCAGATATTTATGAAATGAATTAAGATTTATATAATTCAAATGAAAGTTAATTTAAAATTATATATATATTTGTTATGGGACAAGAAATAGTCAACTAGATTACTCATCCACACACATTGATGAGAGTAGTCAAAATCATAATCTTGGATCCAAATTCAATTCTATCCATCCTTTTTGCAAGTTTGTAAATTTAGATACCCATATATATTTCTTATCATTATGAGGGACCCAAGACCAATATCTTGCCAAATCTTTACAACTTGTAAAAGTTTATATCTAATTTAAAAAGAGGCAAATTACATGAAAAAACAAGTACTTTAACTTGATACCTATTTTGGATAACGTACTTTCAAAACTTTTATTTAGTATCTAAGATGTAAAGTTTTAAACATTTAAATATCCGGGTAACCAGTTAAAGAATTAACCGGTTATCATACTTATGTGACGAGTGATGGGATGAAATTGGGTCGAATAGCAAATAATACTGAGTTGGATACTGCATCCGCATGGTAACTGATTAATGTTTCAACCAGTTACCCGGGTACTTAAATGTTTAAAATTTTACATCTTAGGTATCAAAATGGAAGTTTTAAAAGTACGATATCCAAAATAAGAATCAAGTTAAAATATGTTATTTTTTCATACAATTTGTCATTTAAAAAATGAACATATTTTTTCAACGTGTAAAACATATAATTTATACAATACAAATAGTTTGTGCAAGAATAGTTTCAACTGTATTTTTCCATGGGACAATTATATTTAGAGGCTGTTTGGTAATTGCTGAATGATTTAGCGCAAAATGATTAAGAGATTTTCATGATATAGTGCAAAATGAAACATAATTGTTTGGTAATTGTTTACAATGAAAAATTAGGGCGCTTAATAGTTAAGGGAGACCCAAGATACAAAATCTTTAAGAGTCAGATTTTTTTTTGCCAAACAAAATTCACCTCTTAAAGATTCAGACATTGTCTTTTAATAAAACTATCAAGAGGTAAACAAACAACCCCTTGATATTTATATATAAATCAAGGAAAATGAATCTGAGTTTGAAGAGAAGGTATGAAATTGGAGTGACATACAAAACATGAAAGCATCTATAATTCTATTTGTAGGGTAGTTGTCCATTTCATAGAATCAAATATAAATCCTACTCCACTATCCCTTTATTATTTTTATTTCCTTTTTAAGTTTTTTTTTTAATGTCTTTGTAACTTGATTAAAAATTGAGTGATTTTGTTCAAATACAAGACATATATTAAGTTCAATCCCAGATCCCAGAGTCTCAACTGTTGCCCTTACACTGGTGTCTTTGAAGACGGATTCCTTGTGAGACCAGTTGGGATTGTCGGTAAAATAATTTTTGCAGCGTAACATATAAATAGATTTGTTGCGTTTTGTCGGGTGGTTGTAATCATCAAATGAACCAAACGAAAAGCATTTCCATTTTGTACGGTTTTCTCAATTGTCTCAAAATTTTGGGCCCTTTGTGTCTCTTATTTTTTGAAAAATCTATACGATCACGGTTTATATTTATGAGACCTAATAAATTGAGATGACAAGTTAGGTTTTCCTTTACATCCCAACGTTAAATTATGCCAAATTACATTAAAATATTAATAAAATAAACTGATGGTGTTTTTTTTAATATTTTAATAAAAAAACAAAATGTTGTACGACATGCAATAAATGTGGTACAAAATTCTAAGCATTAAATAGACGTAGCTAAAAGTATGCATGATAAAACATGAAGCATTCATTCCATTTCATTTCTTCACCTAATTGCCAAGTCACGTGCCTTGCATTATATTTGGCTTAACGCCGTTAACGCTTATACATCAAACTTTTAACTCGTCCGTTATCTTTAACTTTACCGGAGTTTTCTCTACCTAAAATATTGACACATAATAGTAAAAATTAAAATAAACGAATTAAAACTACTAAACAAAATAATATATATTACTTACTATTTTCGTACAAAAAAAATTGCTGAATAATAAATTAATAATCAGCAAGTGGCCCGAACAGGTTTCTAAAGAGCGACGAGAGGGTCCGACCCGAATACGTCGCCAAACTCTTGGAGGTAGTCATCTGCGGGCCAGGATGAGGATCCGAATGCGAAATCGTTACCGCATCCGAGGAATACGTCAGCCGGGTCGGAGCTATGAAACATGGTATTCGGGTCGTAAATGTCGGGTACGAAATCCGGAAAGTCGAATAGATCCGAGGTGGAAAACGGATCGTTGAACGGTTGGAAATCGGAGAAGTTTTCCGATACTGAAGGTTCATTAATGGCGTCGTGTAAAGGACTGTGTTGAGTCGACTCAGCAACGCACTCGTCTGTGGAAGATGGGGAGAACCGGAGAACGGATTTCGGTGACGACGCTTTGTTGTTTGTTTGTGATTCTTCGCCGGAGTTGTAACCGGAATCGACAGACGAAAGTTTCTTTTCCGGTAACTGGAGATTTTCCGGCGGTGGAACGGTGAAGTTGGTGAGCGCGTCGGGACCACGCAACTGGATAGCCGCGTGATCATACACCATTGCAGCTTCTTCGGCTGTATCATAAGTTCCAAGCCATAGCCGAACGCGCCGAGTCGGGTCTCTGATCTCTGCCGCCCATTTTCCCCACGGCCGTTGCCGTACGCCGCGAAACTTCTTGCCAGAATTAACCTTCAACCGTTTCTTCATCGCAACATCACGTTTCACGGCGGCGTTCGCGTTCTTCCGCCGAGTCGCCGCCGTCCTTGCCACGCTTCTGTTTCCGTTACAGTAAACATTACAATCGTCGCCGGAACGAGCTTTAATCGTAACCTCGTTAACGAACTTCTTCACTCTTCTCCGGCGGAAGAACACTTCTTGTTCGTCACCGGAGGAATCAGTAGCGTAGGCGTCAGTGACTGATATCCTGACAACTCTAGTTCCAGCAACCATAGCATTGACCTCCGAAGACTCCCGTCGGTTGGAAACCTTTTCTCCGATGGGTAACAAGGATTTATTCAGCATTGTAATGCGGGTTTTGTGCTCAGTGAACTTAACTGACGACGACGAAAAAGTAGCTGAGTTTTCCATTATCAGTGTACTGTTTCAGTGACTGGTATTTATCAGATTCGCATTGAAAGCAAAACGAAGATGAATTTATATGCTATGAAAAAGGGAAGATTCGTTCACGATAGAAGAATAAAGAGGTCGGAATACTCGTGCGAGAGAGAAGATTAAAGGGTCATCGATAAAATCCTCAAAGGAAAATAAAGTTGCAAAAAAAGAAGAGAGAGAAAGCTTCAAAAAGCTAACAATGGTAAAACCGAAGAAGTTGCCGAGAAGAACACATGGTGTAGAGAGAGAGAGACAGACAGAAAGGGTATTTTAGAGAGAGAAAGAATGTGTGTGTGTGTGTTTTTTTTAGAAAGAAGAAAAACTCCTTTTTGCCGGAAAAAGGAAAGTGGGAGAGAAGGGGAGGAATCAACGAATAAATTGAAAGGGTTTACAGAAATGGTGGTTGAGTCAGTCAGTGAGTCAGTGGTGGTGCATGGCGGACTGAAGATATGTTTGACTGTGCTATTTCCGGTAAGAAAAAATCGTACAGCAGGTCTACGAATATGGCGGAAGAGTGAGAAAATTTTCCGGTGGGTTTTAGGTTTTTAGAGAGAGAAAGTTGCAGTGAGGGTTTATGAGGAGGAAGACGATGAAAGGTTTGTAAAGTGCCGTGAAGACGGAATTTGGCATCCCAAGCTTGCTTTTTTATAGGATCCTACCACCGGAATTTTTTTATTATTGTTTACTTTCGTAAATTATTTATTAATATATTTTACTAAAATATATGTTTCCATCATTATTTTAGTATGAAAAATAGACTAAAATAGTCCATCTTTTTCTATAATAGGTTATGTTACAGATTAATTTCGATAAATTATGATTATAAAAAAACAGTTCTAATAAATTCAGTGTTCATAATTGTTGTGTATATTTGAATCGAATATTGAACATATGAAATATTACAGTCTATCCACATGACCTCAATCACTATGTCACAATCGCCTAGACATACGAAATTTTTTAATGTATATTAAAAGAAAGGATTAAATCTGAACATCTTTTATAAACCATGATTACTGTCTTATATTTTTAAAACTGAAAAGATAACAAGTGTTATTTCCGATAAATCATATATACGGAAATTGTAACTTACTCTAAATTACAAGTCTAAGTAGGGGTGAGCATAGGCAGGTACCCGCCCTTTTTGACAGGAACCGGAACCGGCGGTTTTTGAGATATTGGAACCGGAACTGGTTAGAGCGATTCTAAAATTTTTGGAACCGGAACCGGAACCGCCGGGAACTGGTTCCGGTTCCGGGTACCCGCTTCCTTAAATATTAAAATTTTGTTATTTAAAAATAAAAAATAAAACATTGCCAAAACACTAAATAAATAAGCAAGAATACAAATTATACAGAATAATGGTTACAAATATTGTTTAACGATTACAAACCATAATAGACTAATATAAAATGTTCAAAGTTTAACGATTACATACTATAATGATAAATGTTCAAAGTTTAACGATTACATACTATGAATCCAAGTGAACACACAATTTAAAAAAATACGAATCATTTTATATGAAGAATTCAGATGAAGAATTTAGATGAAGAATGAAGATGACCGTATGCTTTCAAGATGTAAACTTAATATAAATTTGGTATTAAAAAATAATTATTATTTTTTTATTGAAAAATACCGGGTACCCGACGGGTAACGGTTCCAAAAAATTGAGAACCGGAACCGCAACCGTTCTCAATCGGTTCCGTATTTTAGGAAACGGAACCGGAACCACTCATATCGGTTTCGGTTTCGGTTCCGAAACCGGCGGTTCCAAGGCGGTTCCGGTTCCGTAACCGGGTACCCGGTTCCACTGCTCACCCCTAAGTCTAAGACATATGCTTTGTGTAGTCTTTTTTATAAGGAAGTTTGTGCTTTAATCATATTGCAAAATCAATCCTTTATTTTTCTAAAATTGTTATTGAACCCCTCAAGAAATAGTATCATCGATGATAATCATTAGATGATCGGAAAGATTAATTTCAGGAAACTTGTTAAAGATAACTACATGATTACGATATATCTATTGAATGGTACATACGTTTTTACAAGTACTCTTGCAGCTCTGATGTTATTACCTATGAAATAGTAAGCGACTTGATACAAGATCATGATCTTTTGTTTAGTTGATTGCTTGAATTACGATAACCTTAATCCATCAAGTGTCTACTCAACTATCAAGTAATGTAAGAGGTTGTTCGGCAATTGCTGAATGATTTGGTGCATAATGATTAAAAGACTCTCATGATATATTGCAACAGGAAATATAATTGTTTGGTAATTGTTTACAATGAAATTATGACGCTTAATTCTGGAGTGGTGGAATTTACGGCTTCAAGTACATATAAGAAAATATATGTAAGCTTATTAGATGACTCTCCAAAATAATCATTGAGAAAAAAAAATAGAGATTCCAATATATATTGACGATAAAAGGTCAAAGTCTAGTCGATGTAGAAATTCAACAATCGTCCATTTGAATCTCTTTAGGATTACTATCGGACTTTCTTAATTATTATCTCCATTACCTCATAGGATTAACTTGAACACGAACACCCACACCCACACCCACGTTTGCTTTCTAGTGTGCATAGAAAATGTTAAATGAAATAAAGGGACCAAATTGAAATAAAAGAATTTAAAGGGATCAATATTGTCATTATTTTAGAAAATTAAGCATTTTATAGTTGCAATTTCACCCATATCATTTTTTGAAATATTCATGCGTGTTTTCTAAACGAAACGCCGCGTCCAAGAAAGACACGTGGATTTAAGTGCCACGTCACTGAATTTATATATTTTTTAATATTATTATAGGTTTTAACTATAAATAACATATTAAAATAATATTAATTAGCATTTTTCTCACCTTAAATTGTTGTTTTTACCTTAATTTTCATGGATTTACTGTTAACTCAAAAGGTGACGGTAAAAACTAAACGGTAAACAATATGTAAACTAAAATACAGTTTTGTTTTTAATTCATTTAAATAAATTAATTAAAAAATAGATTTTAAAAAGCGTACTTAAATTTGTTTTTCTAAAAAAAGGGGTTATGAAGCAGGTCACGTGACACCGGGGGAATGGTTCTGTTAAATTATCAGTCAAATCGCTTTACGCTGCCACATCACTTTTCCTTTGACCCACCATTTTATTTATTATTTATTATTTTTTAAGAAAATATATAACAAACCTTTAATAATTCATTAATTATGCAAAAAATATTTTGAATTGTGTCTAGGCTTTTGTAGCTACCAAAATATAGAGCTGTTTTTTTTTTTTTGAACAGCAAAAAAAAAAGGAACACCCAAGGAAGGAGCTTCGGCAATGCCATCACCCCCCCGAGAGCGACCCAAATCTTATTCAAAGAAAAGGCCAGCAACCATACAAAAAGTCTCTAAGGCAGAGACAAGAAGAACCCAAGAAAAAACCAGAAGAAAA